AAGTGTCCCTTAAATTTGGCCTTATCTGTTTCTAGACATCTATGTCGATTAACCTTTGAAGCCAGTTTTATATATATGTTTAACGAGTACACTCGTCATAACGCAGAATCTTGCCATTCCTTCACGATGAGTATACTCATCGGAAACAGCTAACTGGTTTAGAGGTTAACCGGCATAGGTGTTCGGCAACAGGTAAGACCAAATTTAGGGGACACTTCGTTTCAAGCATTTCTTTGAATTCCTCTGGAAAATTGTTCTGTGAATTCCTCCGTAAAATTGAGTATTTGTAAAAAGTATAGTGTGCTGGTTTGTGTATCTAGTCTTCGGCGGCTGAAAGTGACTGTGATCCGTCAATAATTGTCGGGCCATGTTAGGTCAGAAAGAAAGAAAGAGGGGGGAAGGGGGACAACGACCGACTTATTGACGGACTTTCGCTATTAATAACTCTAAAACGAAGTCGAAAGTACAATGTCTTTACACCGGCCTCGCTTCTTACATTGTCACGAAGAATCAGCCCTTGACTCTGTTGCCACCTGTTGCAGAACAGCCTGTATACGACACGCGTTCCATAATTGGGCTCGTTTTCAACGTATAGCCACGAGATCGATCCTAATTTATCTTTGATGGATCGCCATTTAACGCATGCACAGGAATTGTCGGTTCGTTTTAAGATCATTCGCTGTTATTTAATATTTGGTGTGCTGTGCGCACTATAACCGGCTTCATTACCGATCAATTCTCATCGAGAATTTCATTACTGTAGAAAACCCTCTGTGCAACAGTTAATTACTGCGGTCATCATTAGTTCGTTCGCACGGATTAATTTGTTTCGATGTAACTTTATTGGTTATTTAATAACTAGACTGCGGGTCTCATGCATTTATGGCAAAAATGAGTGAAAATACAAACCGGTGAAGACTTCAAAAGAATTTCAGAGTTATGTTATATCAGTTTTTGTGTGTTCGCGTTGTTAAACGAAGAAATACGTTTTTATTTGACTTTTGCTTTTCATTTGCATAAATTGCAAAATTGCACATTTCATTTTGCATAAAGATCCGCAATCTATTCATAAGATTGAAGTTATTAATAGACTGCGGATTTTAGTACAAAATAAAAATGTTTTGCATGAATTGCAAGAAAGAGAGATCAAATAGCAAGTTCATTTTTTCTTCAATCATATCAATGGATTAAGAATAATAAAACGACAATTCAAAGTTCCTTTAACTTTTATACGATTTTAAATTAGAATTATCCAATTTTGCCATAAATGCATAAAATCTGCAGTCTAGTTATTCGTCGTAATTAAGTCCACTATAATTAACACTAGATGTACGGAACCCGTCAAAATGACGGGTCACTGATCTTTTAATTTACGATTATTCATATCGTGAAAATACATTTATGAATTATTTATTCAATTTATACGTTGCTTACGGAAAACGTTACAATAACACTTGTTAAAAATCAGGATAAATTTCTTATTGCTACTTTTATAAACAAATATAAATCAGCTGTTTTTTGTACTCCGTAGATCTAGTGTTAAAAAGTCCACTCCAGAGCCCCGGCAGCTACCGAAACCGTCGGAGCGACTACAACGAACTCTTTATTTCACGATCATTACCGTCACGAGTACGTCTTTCCGCAAAATCGTCGACTGAATCGGTGCACCCATGTTTACGTAACAAAAAAAGAGAAAAAAAGAAGAGCTGCCAACGTCTCGATATACCCGGCGATTTTCACAAATCGTTTAGAAAAACCTCGGTGTCACGACGGTGCTCGGCAGTTTCAACGGCTAATAACACGTAATTATTGAAACAGACAGATACAATTAAACCGGAGATGCTTCATCCTTGGCTTGCGAACACTTTCGCGGTCCGTTGTCTACCGTTTAATGGAAACCGCGGCAGAGCGCGAGGAAGATTGCAGGCCGAGATAAGTGAAATCGTTTCCTGCGGATCTCGACGCTTGTAGTTTTAGCGAACCTGTACCTACGACTACGATCAGAGAGAACGTTTTTTTTTGTCTTCTCCGACGATGCTGGTGCTCGTCGCGGCGGGTCGAAGGTTGTTCCGCCTCCTCGATTCTACAGGCTCCATTGAACGGCCGTCGAAAGTGAAACAGGCCTCGGTCTACGTTCCGACGAGACTCGCGTGCCATTTTATTAACTCGCAATTAATAAACATTCGCGTAACCACGCCGTGAACGTGTATTCCCGAGGCGGGCATTGCTTCGGCACTACCGTCAACACCGACGCGTTCCAAATTCGTAATTTACGACCGTTGGGACACCAAAGGTGAGAACATTCTTCTTTCCAGCGGACATTGTTTCGGTAGACACAATTTAAAGAGAGAGAGAGCCACATTTGCGAGCAAAAATACTCTCGTTATTTTTGCACATGCAAAATGCAGCAATTTTTCCCTAATTCGCGCTCAGATTACGCACAAAAGTGGACAATCTGGGAAAAGAAGACACGATTATTCGAGCCTTGCGGGCTCGTTACAATTATCAAAACGAAACGTAAGGCTCGAATGATCGTACCTTCTCTTCCCAAAACGTCCATTTTTGTGCGCAATCAAGAGTGAACGATAAAATTAGGGAGAAATTACTGTAGTCACTTACAGCGCTTTGTAATCGACGTCTTATCTTTTGCAACCGAGTCGGACGGATTTTCCAGGAAGGAGAACAACGTAGACAATTGTTGCGTTTTCAATGAATCCGACCGATAGTTTCGTGGGTCCGCACGATAAAGTGAGAAGGTTTTATTGTTCTACGCACCACTTCCGCACTCGAAGACTTGCGTGGCGCTGGCCACCGCGACCAGAACCGCGAAAACGAGAATCGTTTCCCTCAGCATGGCGATATCGGTGAAAGTGCGACTGCGGTGTGTCCTCGGAGATGATTTTGTGCGCGATGAGCTCCCGGCTGTCCTCGCACGCTCCAATCAGCTCCAAACCGGACTCTCGACTGCGAGCCGCCGCGGGATGCAACGTTATGGCTGGCCATTCGTCAAAGTTCGCTTTAAATGGAGCCCCTGCCAAGGCGAGAGGGGCTCGCGGGTGGGGATGAGGGGCAAACGTCGTACCACGGTGGAAGGGATTCTGTAAATTCATAAAACATACACGCTACACGTGCCCAACCATTTTTCTATACGCTATTAATTCACCGATTTCTGCGAATGAACGCTTGCAACGGCTGCAACACTTCAGGAAGGAAGTGTGTATGTTGCACCAAAGTCGAGCATCATTCGAATTCGAACGAACACTTTCTAGTCGAATATTTTGTGTTCGAGTAACAATTATTCATTAACACAAGAACTACCAAACCAGTCGAAATGACTGGTTTCTGATTTTTTTCTTTTACAGTGCCTGATATTGGAAAAACATTTTTGGGAGAAGTTTTTAGGTACGCTTCTTTATTGAAATATAATATATTTCATAATTTTATAATATGTTATATTATAATATAAATCAGGCACGGGCGGGTCATTTCGACCGCGGGCTACAAGCTCCACTACTACTACTACTTCACGCACATTGCTACACATACGCGAAAAAACGATGTCATATGGTTTCTCGTGTCGCGTGATTGTGTAAGGGACGAGTCACGGAGTTTTGGCATTGTTATAAAACAATGTACACTACTCGCGTTTAAGTCTCAATAATTATCATGTTATTGGAAAGAAAACTACGAACGTGTCGATAATGTTAAGTCATAAAGTGTCATTCGTGTTGTCGGATTCCAACAATTTTCATCAAGAGATACGTTTTATAATGATCGACGTGATAATGGAAATTTACAGGAAGATCCGCAGCTAGTCACATAAGCTGGATATATAATTTAATGTATCATAATACAATGTGTAATACATAATTTAATGCGGACAAAATGAAGGATAACGAGTCAAATTTTATTCGACACTATCGAATAAATATCCGATCGAATGAAAATGTATCTAGATAAAAATGTATCCGAATAAGAATTTATTTATACAGGAATTCATACGGAAAGTAATCGATTTGAATAAAAATGTTTGTTTGCTGGCATAAAAGTTTCATTTCATTTGAAAGATTTTTGTTCATAGTTTATCGATTCACTTATTCCATATTATTTTCAACAGTTAACGTTTCTTCAAACGTTGCCTCGGGTGGTTTGTTATTTCTGGGTAGATTGATCATTGATGCATAACTAAATTATCTTTCTACGTGCAGACGAAGGCATCGGCGTGTTATATTGAACAAGATACGTGTGCAATCAGTGCATACTCATTTAAAATATACAGACCGCGGCGTTTATCTGAAACACGCATTTTGTTACTTTCAATTCTGCATTATCAGAAACACGATTACAGCTTTCAGATATTGACGGTTCAAATACGAGGAGATTATCGTCCGTGCTTTCAATATCCTTCGAAATTGGGGCTGTATAAAAAGAGGCTAGATAAATTGAATAAAAAATATTATCCTAAGATAATATATAAATAGCATATATTATGATACTAATAATAATACATTTCACGTATACCTGCTCCTTTGCAACAACCGTTTCAATCGTTGCATACAATCGTGCATGGTATTTTACTTCGATCCTATGTAGTCATTCTGATTTGAATTTTGGCTGTGGAAATGCTTGTTTTGCCACGATCGCATCGAAATGAAAAATTAATGCAATTGTATTATAATTAATTAATATACTGCATCTTGTATTGAAATTTCTCAATAATTCTTACACTAACATTTTGCAGTACTTATGGTTGAAGTTGAACTGATCCTGATTGTATTCGTATAAATATATTGTTATAAAATTACATAAAAACAATCAGAAATCTCTATTCGAATAATTTATTCGAATAATTTTACAATCTCTACTCGAACAATTTATTCGAATAAATAGATAGAATAATTTATCCGAATAAATAAATAGAATAATTTATCCGAATAATGAATAATTCGAATAAAATATTGGACGGAAAAGAACTCGCTCGGACAGTGATCTTAGATAAACATTTCTTCGAAACAATTCGAGAATAATGCCCGCCCCTGCTGCATACAAAGATCGGATCGCGGCAAGTTCGGCACTGTGGATTTGCGCGAACTTATTAGGCGAGAATCGAATCCAATACCGTAATGGAAATAGAACATTCGCGTCGGAAAGAAAAGCACAGGTGTAATTCTGTCGCGTTGCGCCGCTGTACGGACGCTTAATGGTATCGAAAACCTGTTGTCGGGTCGAGCGGAAAGTTCGTTCGAATTCCATTGATCTAATCTCGAGACACCCCCTCGAACCAGACACAATGTTCCACCGTTGTTCGTCTGTTTGACACACATCGATCGTCGGCGGTGCAACTGTACCCGTATTTTTTATAAAGTTGTGACGACGAGTGCGAGCGCACCGACCGCGGAATCGCGTGCAAAAGATAAGTTCTATCGGTCGTTGTTAATTGATCGCACGCACCAGGAAGAGCGACGAGTAATCTCCCCGATTCGGTGCTCCGAGGTCGTTCGTGGCTAGGGACAGGCGTCTCTCGATTCCAATTGCGATTGTTTTAATTTCGATGTTCGCCTTCTCGTCGAGCGACGGCCGCGGATGAGGTGGCTCGTATGTCCGAACGGAAATGAAACGGACCGCGCCGCGTTGGCCGCGAGAAACAAAGGCCAGGAAATTAACAACGCTATCATCTCGCGTCTCCAGCCATCCCGCAAACGAACTTTCTCTTTTTTTTATCTCGCGGCCGTGTCCCATGGCTACATTGTTGCACACCTATTCCGCGTTTCGATAACCAGCGGTTGATTGAAACCGTTTTTCGCCGTCACCTTTGCCCCGGTTCCGAGAGAAAGTCCAGTTTTTAGACTCGCAAACGCTCTGCCCGCGAACCATGAGAACCGCGCGAATTTGTCTCACATGGAAAGATAACGTAGAATCCTTTTGAATACCGTGCCGGGGAACAATGTTCGACGGACGCAGGGCTACGGAAACGCGACAAGATTCTTTTGGCACTTTTCAATTAATGGTTTTTCGTGCCGAAGTCGCGAAAGAACTGAAGCAACGAATCGCTCGAGAAAGAAAACGGCAATTGGCTCCCAACACCGACTGTCGCGTTTTATCTTCTCTGGCTCGCATTGAACATTAGTCGGAATTTTTATAATTCTACTTTATTTCTTATCTACCACATTAATCGTTAAATATATTTGAAAGCTATTTCTGTGTGTAATTATTGTTCTAAGAAAAATGTTTGTTTGTCAAATTCTGTATTACACGAGACGATAAAAATATTTCTAGTCTATATACTATATCAAAAATCGATTATTCCCCAACCCTGGTACCTGCAACGAGCGGCGAAAATAGTTGAAACAATTAATGTCTTTTCTGCACACGATTAGCAACAAGACGAGTGAAGTACAGCACAAATGGAATATTAGATTCTGAAAGCTAGGCAAAATATGATTTTTCAAATCTTGCGTGAGATGAAAAATTTTGGTTTCATGAGCCATTGGAATACATGAACAACAGTATATCCGTATTATTTTGTTTATTTATATACTCGTGTAGTGTTGTTCTACGTTGTAATTAAAGTCTTGTGTAATATTCATTTTTCTCTTCGCACGTCTCTGAAGCATCGCTCGGTTGTTAAGATCGTTCATAAGCGATGAAGTTGTGGAATTCCTATTTTTATTTGCAGACAGTGTTTAGGCAGGTATACGTTATAGGTTTCAGCAATTTTCAATTTTTTATTGTTTGTATGATTACAATTAATCAAGTTTGAAGATGGCCTGTTATATCCGTCTCATGAGAGAGTAATGTTCTTTCTTGCGTCATTGGAAATCGTAAAGAATTCTATTAACAATGCAAAAAGAATTGGCTAACAAGACGTGCCAACACGGCTTTTACATTATTTTCTGTACTGCGATGTATGGAGCTGATGATGTGTTATACTATTATATAAGACTGTAACTTATTAAACGAGACAAGAGAGAAATATGAAGTTATTATATATATATATTATTATTATTATTATATTATATATATATTAATATTATATGAATAATATTATATATGTTATTATAATATAATTATTATATTATTATAGAAATTATTTTGAATAATTTTTACTTGTTCCCTGTTTCCTTTACCATTGTTAATCATCTCTAATACTTTGCAATAGTTTTGAATTGTTTCTAATACTTTGCAATAATTTCTTATACTTTTCAACAATATCACATAGTTCTTTCATAATCATTAAGTTGTTTTTGATTGTATCTACATTCTTTTATGTTTTTCGAATAATTATATAACCTTCGCACAATGCAAATAATAATAATAATAATAATATTGGTTTTTAATAAATAGACGGACAACAATTCGAATACGTTAAAATAATAAATAAATAATAATTACAATTACTATTTTATTTGCTTATAGCTATTCGTTCTAAGTTAAAATATTGTAAATAAGCGAGTGGATATGCACATCTTAGACACGTTAAGTGAGACGAACTATTATATTTCGTCCAGCGAAATCGGACAAATACTCCACTGTGCGGAGGTGTCTGAGTTTACTTTCTGTCCAGTTCCGTGAATGGCTGTCCGTGAATAATAGTTGCAAATGATAGCTGTACGCAGCAAATGAAAGACAACAGGACATCGGTACGATTATTTGTGAAATGAATCACGTTCGGCGCGCGAGTAAACCAAACTCGTCATCCCAAAAGTAATTATGCCCGCGCTATCGTTTCCCGGGGAACGGTAAATACATGCACGACCTTCGTTCCGCTAGAGCCACGCTAACAGAGTTACGAAATTTCACTGAAATCACATAACCGTGACTACGGATATAAACAGAGAGTAAAGGTACGAGCGAGATTCGACGCGTTCCAACGACATTCTAACTTGTGCCAACGTTATTGTTTAGGCTACCGGATCGTTCCAAAGGTGGTGTTCTTATCTATCAAATCACACATATTAGGTTGTTAATTGTCCCGACCGTTCGTTTCGCTTCTAACCCATTGTTTGCTGCCAATTCTAGCAAACATGATACGAAGATTACCAATTCTTGGATATTTTTCACTACATCGCGGATTTTTATGCAAAATAAAAATTGTCTGCATCAGTTGCAAAGACTATAATGCAAGTAACGAGATCATTGCTCCTTTAATCATCTTAACACTTTGACGGCCGCGCCAAAAACCACAAATATTTCGTAAAAAATTAAAGTATTTCATCCAATTTAATTAAAATTGCAAAGCAAAATTTTATGCAACATAAGTACGTCTTCAATATTCTTATCACTTGCGAATCTGAATAAAATTATGAAGTTGTAGTGGATCAGCATATAAAAAAATGATTAAAAAGTAAATTTGAAATAATTCTGTTACCAACATATGGATGACGCGGCAGCCAAAGTGTTAATGGCGTAGTTATGATATACTTTGTTAATAGCGTAATTATGATATATTTTGTTAATAATACAAATAGGTTATATTTTGTGAATAATATAATTATGACACATTTTTTAGAAAGCTGCGCTGAATCGATTTTCATCGTTGAAATTTTCGCGAAATCACGTGTACGTGACAACGGCCGTCAAAGTGTTACTAGATTAAAAGTAACATGACAACGTTTTAAATTGCTCTTAATATTTACGCTATTTTCAATCGCAACTAGCCAATGTTGTCATAAATGCATACAATCCGCGGTCTATTCGTGAGTGTTCAGAAAATGACGGAGCAGCAGATTCGGGGAAAGTCGATACGGTGTCGTTTGCTTTGCAGTTGAAAGCATCGGTGAACGGTAGAAAGTTTTTCCTCGATGAGAACGCGAATTCGCAAAAACATTCGCAGCCAGCTGATACAATTTCATAGAACGCGGAACGTGATCGACGATGAACGACCCGCGACGCGAATCTCGTCGCGTCGCGTTTCGCGCTTGATAACGGCAAAACACACGTGGTCGAGGAACTCGAAACGCGACGCATGAAATAAGAAGTCGGCTAGAATACAAACGAGGGATTGTCAGTGACAGTAACCTTGGATCGGAGAGGAGGAATTCCTTGCTAGTCAATGACGATGCTCGGCATCTTTCTCGCTCCTGTTTTTGTATCATCATCGAACAGAGTGTTCGAGGCTCGAGATCAAAGAGAATCGGAGAAAATTATATCAATTCGATCTGAAAGAAACATTCTATCAATGTCGCCCGCATCGTCTGCGAAGGATGCATTCTTTAGAAATTATACTCACACTTATACATACGTTCGTAGTCAGTAGAAAAAAAGTCTGCCTGTTAAAAGCGAATAACTTCCTTCAAATTTGATTGATTAACTGATTTCAATTTTTTTTTAGATGTCAGGAGAGCCGGTTTACTGGACAATGAACAAAGAACTTTTTTAACATTCATATACATATATGAGTTATTTATTCAATAAATTCGTTACTTCGAACAAATATTACAATAAAACTCGCTAAAAATTCGAATGAAGCGATTATAATTAGTTTTACGAAGTTATATAAAAAACAGTTGCTTTCAATACTCTGTGCACTCAGCGTTAATGATCAGAAGACTCTTGCGTAGAAAACCGGAATGTACAAATAAGTTTGCTGCTTCTGTAACTGAACTATTTTACGTAAACAGATTTGAATCGACGCAGTAGAGTTCGAAGAATACGCAACTTGCGAAAGCGGAAATGGTGTACGTCAATAAAGCTAATTTAATAATAATAAGATGCAATAAGATATGAAATTGTTGCATCTGTTTGATGTAAGTTACTTTCGAGTTTTAACTTAAAATCGAATAAAATCAAAATCGAACAAGATATTAAACCAAATATGACTTAATAACGTGAGATGAACCTAGCAAAAAATTGACTTCCACCACTGCTGCTTTAAACAACTTGCGTTTTAAACACTCGCGAAATTGCATTTTTGTGCCAGCAGGCTGATCAATGTTTCGTCGTCAATTTGCAATCGAACGAACAGGGGAGACAATTCGACAAATCGGCCGAAGAATGTGCGTCCCCGCGGATTCGCGGTCGTCGATAATTCGCTTTCACAGCTTGTTCAAGTTGTTTCGTGATCCGGCACTGCGTATCGCCGCGGTTTTTCATCGTTGGAGAAATAAATGACCGACGATGATCTGCCGGACAGAAATTTAATTGCAGGCCGCCGTTTATTCGGCTGAAGAATCAACAAGTTAATCGAATGATTGCGGACCGATCCAGAGCCGAATTAAAAATGCGTCGGAGTTCGCGAGCTCTCGGACGGAGCCAATTTAAACGCAGCGCCAGGAGAGTTGCACGACGAAATTCAGACGACGACGGATGCTGCGACTGCGACTGCGATCTCCGAGTTCAGTTGGTGTACATAGGAATCAGGGTCTGACGAACCGTTCTTGGAAACGCGCCGGCAGAAAAAAAGAAGCGGACCTGATCATGAATATAATTATTCATCCAGCTCACGAAACGAGACTCCGGCGTTGTCTATTCGCCGCGCGTACCATATCTCTCGGCGAGAAGTAATTCCGCAGTCGATTTCCTTGACGGTACGCTTCCGTACGCGACCTCTTCTTCTTCGTTCAACGTAATTACATCGTGTCCCGGTACATCGAACGCGACGAACAAGTGTAAAAAAAAACAGATCGGACACTCCTTTCGAGCACGAGACTGCCTCACGGCTATTATTTGCTCGTTGTAATTTATCGAGAGTACATACATAATCATTCGGATCGCGATTCTGCGCCGTCGATACCGTCGTGTGACTCATATGATCGAAAGTCGGCTGTTTTTTACTCAAACAGTACCGAACGCTTCGAATTTTGTGCTGCACGCGAATGAAGCGAATATGAATTCCAAACGAAAAGACAGAAATAGTGTGTACAAATAAAGATTCACGTAATGAATCATAGCAATTGGAAGATAAAGGTAATGTCCGTCGAGCATACTTTTCGAGACCGAACAGAACCTTAGAAATAGATGATATACATGAACGAAAAGAAAAAACAGAAACGAGCAAATTATGCATTGGAGGAGTCGTTAATTTGAAACTATTGCGTGACGCGAGTTTTTTTACACGCATAAATTCGACTCGTAACGCCGTAGCAGTGGGAGAACACGTCGTCGAAGAATGTAACGGCTGCGACGAAAGAACTGGATTCCCGCGATGATCCAGCAGCTTTCATTTTCGAATGAAGAAAATCGAACGACGAAGCGATCGCGCGAAGAATGCACAACCGGATCCTGCAAGGTCTCTCTTTCTCCGTGCAGCATCGCTGAAGGCAATTATCTCATCCCGGCTAATTAGAACACTGTCTACGAGTATAACTCGATTTCAACAGCGAGGTAACTGCGCCTTAATTTTCGGTGAAACTTCGATCTTTCCGATGCATATTCGGCAGGGCAGGGTGGAGGGCGAAGACAGTGAAAAACGCCTCCGGTGGAAAACGAGTTTCGCGGGGAAACTCGATTAACCGACGCAGTTTTCGCGGACTCATCGGGCCAGTCGCGATCGAATTATCGAACAAACGGGAGGCGTGTTTAAACGCAGCAACGTGTTATTTTCTCGTTCTGCTAGCAGATAGGATATCGGTTTCATTACAGTTCAATGGGCTGGCCGGTTAATTGTGCCAGTCGTTCCGCGAGCAGACCACCCACAAACAACGGAAAAATCGGTTTAGGTGAAATAGATAACTGCGACGAGACGACGAGCCAACACTCGATGTGCCGCGGTGGTTACGGTGCGACGGTAATCGTTTATTGATTTTCAACTAGGGAACAAGGATACGGATCGTCGAAAGCGCTTTCGTCGACATTGCGTTAAAATTCGCGGTGCCCGGTGCGAACGTTTAACGATCGATTTCCGACTGCCTATGATCCGTGGATCGATCAGTTTTATCTACAGCCGATAACAAACGTTTGATCTAGCATTTCAACCATCGTCGTCTTCGCATCTCAGTGTACGGTGTGTAATGTTCACGTTGAACAATGAGATAATGGTCCTTTTCATCGGTGATGCATAGATTGATATATTTTAACTACAACCAGTACCGAAAACTCGGAGTAGTTTAATTGTAAACGAGGTATGGAAGTAGACTTGTCCGCCAATGTATTATCATAGACGAGCTACCCAACGTCTTTATACATTTGACACCCAATGTATCATTGTGTCACCCAAAAATTTGTGTGAACACCGTTACCAATATTTCAGAAACTTAAGCTTCTCAGCGAGAATCGAGTATTCTGTACACCTCGTTCGTATTACGGCATGTTTTATGATCTGAAAGCCACAAATTCATACGCCGTGTATATTCAAACGATTCTTTTCAATCTGGAGCTAGAGAGAATCTTTACGAACTTCGAAATGTGTGCGCAACAAAGGAGATTTAAGGAGCTAGACATCCTACCAAGGAGATAAAGATAGAGGCCACGGTTACCGACAAAATGAGACGAAAACATGGATTTACGGAGTGACACCTAATTACCTTAAATCAGCATCTTTTTCGTTGTTTAATATATATTATTATATTACTCGAAAGAGAAAGGTTCAATGCAGTGCGCCAATCTCAGACTTTATGAGAATTATGCAAATATTTGGTCATATATTTTATATATAATATATAATAATATTCTACATATAATATATAATATATTAGTATATTAATATATTAATATATTCTTAGAAAGTAAGGTGAAAGTTGATGGTGTCGAAGCGATGGAATCCAAGCAATTTTATGTCATTGAATGATTTTTATTTTATGAAAGTCTGACATTCGCGCTCTGCGTTGAACCTACCTCTTTCGAATGATAGCAATAAACATCGAAAAAGATGCTAATTTAAGGTAGTTAAGTATCATCCCTGTGTGGAAAAGCATATTGTTTTGGCATCAGAATTCATGATATCGATAATATAGAGCAAAAGATTTGACAAGATTAATTACACTGGTGCTAATAAGCTGACGCCTAAATAAAAGGACTATAATCGGAGGTAGATGCAAGCTTGCGTTATAACACAGATTACCAATAGATTATGAACACCAAAAATTAAATTATACCAGCTTATGTTTTGTTACTATGTTGTACAAAAAAGTTTATAAGAGCGTCTAGTCATAAGTACATTAAAGTACATTAAGTAATAATGTAAAGGGAAAAATTATTTCCCTCTCACTTTAATAAACCTAACTTAAACCTTAACGAAATCACTTTTCGAAATATTTGTGCTTGAAAAGTTCTTCTTCTATATCTTCTAATATCGTAGTATCGAATATAGTAGATAATTTTGCTTTTCGAAAATTCATATTCGTATTCGTGATTAGCGATAATGTAAGCAGGAGAATCATAATCGCTTGGGTTCCTTTCGATCTTCATTTTCGGGATATTATCGTACAAAGACGTCTCATTCGCCGATGGATGCGTAATTTTAATACTTAAGACGTTAAGACGCGTAATTAAATGTGTAAGAGTAATGTAATGTAAGATAATAATGTAAGAATATAATAATGTAATAATGTGTAAGAGTAATGCAAGATAATTCTAAATAATTTATGTTGAAAATTGTTACGCACATGTCTCGAATTATTAACTTTTGATTCACTTTTGGCCCGCAATAATTCGTTGACATGTGGTTAGTTATTAACCCTTTGCACTCGAGTAGCGACTCCGAGGCGCTATTAAAAATTGTTTATATTTAAATAACTGTTAAAAGCGTAATTATTGCATGAGTCACAAAATTCAATTTCATGTGTATAAAACACATTAGGTCGTATAAAATGGAAAAACCGTGCGTCGGAAGAACTATTTCAAATTTTGAATTAATTTGGCTTCGAGCGCAAAGGATTAAGGCGTTAGTTATTAAGTAAAATTTGTTGTAAGAAAAGGAGCCACAACGAATTCTAGTTTCGTTCTGACTCCCATTCGGTAACCTCCTCATAGTGAGACCCGGGCAATCGATGTAATTTTCGATTTCCAATCGGTTATAAATCGAAAGAAACTTCGATGATTCTATAACAAATTCGAAATTGATTATTACATCGAGCTAATGGCTGTGAAATATATTTTTAGTGTATTAATCACTAATGTCACTTATTATTAGTGAAATATCGGTGTGAATCGCGAAAAATCCCGTTTCCTCTCTGCGAGTTAATGACAGTTTCAGCAAAGCAAAAATTGGTTTAAATATATGGAAATCTACCTTATATTATAGTCCTATTATACATTCATCTTGATCTGATTGACTATTAGACACATCAGGTATCNTTGGTCATATATTTTATATATAATATATAATAATATTCTACATATAATATATAATATATTAGTATATTAATATATTAATATATTCTTAGAAAGTAAGGTGAAAGTTGATGGTGTCGAAGCGATGGAATCCAAGCAATTTTATGTCATTGAATGATTTTTATTTTATGAAAGTCTGACATTCGCGCTCTGCGTTGAACCTACCTCTTTCGAATGATAGCAATAAACATCGAAAAAGATGCTAATTTAAGGTAGTTAAGTATCATCCCTGTGTGGAAAAGCATATTGTTTTGGCATCAGAATTCATGATATCGATAATATAGAGCAAAAGATTTGACAAGATTAATTACACTGGTGCTAATAAGCTGACGCCTAAATAAAAGGACTATAATCGGAGGTAGATGCAAGCTTGCGTTATAACACAGATTACCAATAGATTATGAACACCAAAAATTAAATTATACCAGCTTATGTTTTGTTACTATGTTGTACAAAAAAGTTTATAAGAGCGTCTAGTCATAAGTACATTAAAGTACATTAAGTAATAATGTAAAGGGAAAAATTATTTCCCTCTCACTTTAATAAACCTAACTTAAACCTTAACGAAATCACTTTTCGAAATATTTGTGCTTGAAAAGTTCTTCTTCTATATCTTCTAATATCGTAGTATCGAATATAGTAGATAATTTTGCTTTTCGAAAATTCATATTCGTATTCGTGATTAGCGATAATGTAAGCAGGAGAATCATAATCGCTTGGGTTCCTTTCGATCTTCATTTTCGGGATATTATCGTACAAAGACGTCTCATTCGCCGATGGATGCGTAATTTTAATACTTAAGACGTTAAGACGCGTAATTAAATGTGTAAGAGTAATGTAATGTAAGATAATAATGTAAGAATATAATAATGTAATAATGTGTAAGAGTAATGCAAGATAATTCTAAATAATTTATGTTGAAAATTGTTACGCACATGTCTCGAATTATTAACTTTTGATTCACTTTTGGCCCGCAATAATTCGTTGACATGTGGTTAGTTATTAACCCTTTGCACTCGAGTAGCGACTCCGAGGCGCTATTAAAAATTGTTTATATTTAAATAACTGTTAAAAGCGTAATTATTGCATGAGTCACAAAATTCAATTTCATGTGTATAAAACACATTAGGTCGTATAAAATGGAAAAACCGTGCGTCGGAAGAACTATTTCAAATTTTGAATTAATTTGGCTTCGAGCGCAAAGGATTAAGGCGTTAGTTATTAAGTAAAATTTGTTGTAAGAAAAGGAGCCACAACGAATTCTAGTTTCGTTCTGACTCCCATTCGGTAACCTCCTCATAGTGAGACCCGGGCAATCGATGTAATTTTCGATTTCCAATCGGTTATAAATCGAAAGAAACTTCGATGATTCTATAACAAATTCGAAATTGATTATTACATCGAGCTAATGGCTGTGAAATATATTTTTAGTGTATTAATCACTAATGTCACTTATTATTAGTGAAATATCGGTGTGAATCGCGAAAAATCCCGTTTCCTCTCTGCGAGTTAATGACAGTTTCAGCAAAGCAAAAATTGGTTTAAATATATGGAAATCTACCTTATATTATAGTCCTATTATACATTCATCTTGATCTGATTGACTATTAGACACATCAGGTATCAGAACTGATTCCACATGAGTGTTATCACTGTCCGTAGACATCGTAATGTTTCTGCTTCGTCTGCAATCATTGCAAATCCTTCTCCATAGATAAAACAAGCTTGTATCTTCTTTTCGTCCTGTCCACTTTTCACTTTTTTCACACTTAAATGTTCGTAAAGTGGCTTCACCAATATACTTTTCAATTGTTTCTAGAAGCCAGGACTGGCTGCAGATTCTTATTACAGGTTGACAGTTGCTCGTGTTTTTTCGATTAAAAACTTTTGTAAAATTGATTGGATACACTGAAAATGGATCTAAGCCACATGTTCTGAAACCATGAGACAATATTCCTTTCAGATTCAGTTCTCTGAAAACTGTTCCCAAAATAGGAGCAAAATCTTCTTTACTAATACTTAAATTTTCTCTTTCAATACGATAATGATTTACTTTTTTCTTCCAATGGGATTTCAGTGTTGAAAACATACTGACATCCATTGGTCGAAGGAAATGCGTTGTGTCTGGAGGCAACGGTATTAGCACTATTTGATGTACACGGCAAAATTCACTCAAGGGTTGCGTAAAGTGCATAAAATTACCATCTAAGAATAATATGACTGGCATTTGAATTTTATTTTCAATTAGCCATGGCCAAAATTTATTGACAATATAATCATAAAAAAGAAATGTTGTCATATAGCCCTCTTCAGATGTGCCGACACAAAATCCTTCAGGGAGTTTCTCATAAATAGAATTGGGCACTTCCTTATAATCAAATACAACCAGTGTTGGAGCCAACTGGCCTCCAGCATTGCCGGTAACTAAAACAGTGATATTCTGTTTTTCATTATTACTAACAATGTTATCAACATTTTTGAATCCCCTCCTTGCTAACACTTGACCTCCATTTGGATTTAATGTTAAAGATGTATCATCTGTATTATAAATTCTGCTACTGTCGATATTTAAAAGGTTTGCTTTTTTTAAATAATTTTCAATATCCTGAAACCATTTTCGAACAAAATGTTCTGAAACTAATGTTTTAGACAGTGTTAGTATTGGGTGTTTTTTAAGGAATCCCTCAAACCATTGACAATTCGGTTGTCCATCAATAAATTTATTGGGTACGTTTGAATTTTTAATTTGTAATGCCAAGCTATTTATCAGATGTTCTTTGGTAATTAGGAATCCAAAATATGGCATGTCTATTATCCACTGAAAAATTCTATTTTCTACATCCTCCAAGGTTTTGCATATATCCTTCTCGTCATAATTTCTTTTCAAAGATTCGCTCATTTCTTTTACTACAAAGAAAAATTCAATGCGATTATAGTAATAAATCGATCATTACTATATAGAATAATTTTTTTCAATATTGAATGTGTACTTACAATTTTATCTCTTTATACAGAAAGGTTCATAACAACACGTAAAGACTCGGATACACTCATGCACACTTTTTGAATTGTTTTGAATGGAATGAGGTTAGTTTCGATTACGCGGTCTAATACAAGAGGACACTGAAATACGGACATATTCTAAAATCTGATCCTATTTCAGGATTTATATTAAAAATATAAAAATATGCATGATCAGTGTTTTTTTTATTGTTGTTAATACTAAATGAAACCCTCTTACGACATAATATGCGTTTTGTACGATTACATTACATTAATAATTAATTTATACGAAAATTTTCAACAAACGTTTCTTACGATTGTTGACAAGACATTGCTAGATTGCGGATTTTATGCAATTAAGGCAAAATTGTGTTGTTATTTATGTGTTGTGTTCGTCGAATCATCGAGGCGAAGTTTGTAGCTGAAAATTCAGAAATAAATTTTTCCGATCAGGCAAAATATATCTCTCTCTCTCTCTCTCTTTCGAATAGACTACCCATTATTTACTGTGACACCTCGTTTGTGTGAACATGCTTATATTATATGTATACTGTGTTGTGGCTCCAAACTAACATAGTGCGTTATCTAGTCCAGAAAGCCAGTACTAACTGACTAATAGTTTTGGCATATCACCACAGATGGCGAAGAAATTCCTTTTCTGTATTATCTGTCCGCATGCATCAAGTAATCGAATATCATGCATGTAATATTGCCTGAAACGAATTGTTAGTACTCAAAATCTTGTCAGAAGAATTCGGTACACACTCTAGCATAGTTAAAAGAGACATTTAATCACAACTTACCCTATTATTTCCATAATCATCTAAGTTTTGTCATGAGCCTATCGAGGACCGGTGAAATCATTTTGGAGCATTGGTATTTATCAGAGTACAAAAGATGAAGACCTGAGAATTTTTTGAAGCAATTTTTGAATAAATCTTCACGACATTGGTACAAACAATTGGAAAAGAATCGCATCAGTCATTCTGCAGTCAAATAAGAACGTAAGATCAATCTTTCATTATTCCATTTTAAAATTGTAAACATTGTACAAGGTTAGAACCGGTCAAATTACATACTGGTTACGTGTAAATATTTCTTTTCTTTGCAAAGGTTGGACTTGTATGGTTAGTTTGATGAAATTCGATGCAATGATTGTCCACCTCAAAAGATTCGTTTTGCCATTTTGCAAGATGAACAAATTTGGGAGAATCTATACGCGTTTCGTAAAACACGGCTCCTCGCAAGCTTCATCCAAAGTCTTAGAACATCTGAAAAATAGGAGTTTGTTGCAAATTAGAGGAAACGAAGCTTCGAATTTCCTGCAGGGATTAATTACAAACGATATGAAACATATTGACGAAGGTGCTGCCAATTTGTATGCTCTGTTTCTTAATATAAAGGGTAGAGTGATTTATGATGTTATTGTATATAAAAGTCAAGAAGACAATGTATTTTATATTGAATGTGATTCGCAAGCAGCAGATCCGTTGCAGAAGCATTTAAAAGTGTATCGTGTTAGAAGGAAGCTAGATATAGATAATGTAGGAGATAAAATAAAGGTTTGGGCGTTATTTGACCCTGTCCCGTATTTAAATAAATCTGATATTATTAGTAGGCAAAAGCTCGAGGGTGAAATATTTCCGTGCGGCACCCTCGATAGCAAATCAAGCAAAGTGATAGATAACGTTATGATCTATCAGGACCCGAGACTTCTAGATTTAGGTAACAGAATACTATCGGTATCGAGTCTCGAGAAAAATGATATAAAGAAACATTTGAATTCCGACGTAATAATTGCTGATAACGCATTAAGTTATAAAGCACTTCGCTATAAACTTGGTATAGCTGAAGGTGTTGATGACTTACCACCCGGGCAACCTTTACCCTTAGAAGTAAACTGTGATTATTTGCATGGAGTTAATTTCCATAAAGGTTGTTACATCGGACAAGAACTAACGGCACGTACTTATCACACCGGCGTGGTAAGGAAACGTTTAATGCCGTTATTGTTCGACCAGGTTCCTAACAAATCTATTTCGTACGACGAAAAAATTGTAGACGAATCTGGCAAAGTGATAGGTAAATTTAGGGGAAGCGAAAAAGAGTATGGTTTGGGATTGATGAGAATCAAGGAATCTCTTAATGCCAAATCCCTTAGTGTGTTAGGTATGAAATTAAAAATATCGACGCCTAATTGGTGGCCGCAGGAATTACAAACTGAAAGCGCTTCGGCTAATAGAAAGTAAAGAAACTTTTATAGTGTTCATAATTGTACAACTGTAATATTTAAATGCAAAATAAATTTACTATGGCAAGTACTTACAGACTGTTTCTCATCCTTGTTACGTTATAGGATGGAATCTGTTCCTAGCACATCTGTTGATCAATCTGGGATCAGTGAGCCTAGTCGCGGGAGTTCTTCGTCGTCTCACGAGCGTAAGGAAATCACTAGCGGCGTGTTCAAATGTTCGTGTTGTACATTAGAAGAGCGTTTTGACTTCAAAGGCGCGAAACCTCCGTTTGCGCGACAAATAACTTATTTAGAAGAGTGTTATATTATGAAGGATCCATTCAGTTTGCCGAATAAGGGTGAGGTGTTAGTGCTTGGCGCCGATTGTAATTTTTGTAAGAAATCTGTCTGCTTAGGATGTAGCATTTACTTCGGTAAACGATTTTGTTCCAAATGCGCCAATAGCAATATAAATAATCTTCCGTCACAACTGCATATGAAAGTAAAGAACTTAGTAAAAAGTACTGACTGATAAAAAATAGTGTTTTATTCAATATTAAATACTTGCCCACACTCTCACTTTTCATATTTAAAAAAATATCTTAATAAATCCATTCACAAGTGCTATATCACGATTTATACTTCAAACCTATCATTTCCCTGCCTTCATATTCGCACTTTTACATTACTTTAAAAAGATATAAATTAAATCTGAACATTAAAATTATGTAATGAAGAATCTTAAGTTAATACGCGTATCTTAGAGAGTATCAATTATGGCTTCTTGGGTTTGGCAGCCAGTTTCTCTGCCATTATTTTTTTCTTCTTCTCCAATTTATTCGACTTCTTCTTCTTTTTTTCATCAGCAGTTTGACCCTGGAATGCTTTTGACTGCTTCGGACTACTTTGTTTCACATCAAACTTTTGTCCCTTTTCATTCGGTCTCTTTGTAGCATTTTTCTTGTTATGAACCTGAAAAAACGGTAATATTTTAATTGTTTTTACGTAACTTTTGAAGGATAAATAAAATGATAAGAAATACATACGGGTACAGCTACTTCTTCATTGTTTTTTATCTTTTTACTTGATTTCTGATCTTCACTTGTAGAACCTGATCTCTTCTTCTGTTGTTTGTCTTTCTTTTCTTTCTTTGGATGTTCGTAACATGGTTTTACTCTAAGTTCGCGATTTTGAAGTGACGTTCCGTTTAATTCTAACGCCAATGATACAGCATCCTCAGTCTTGAAATTAACATATCCAAATCCCTTGCCAATTCCAGTCTTGTTATCTTTAATTATACGTATTGATTCTATTTCACCACAACCCTTGAAATGTTTCCTAACTGCATTTTCTTCAATATCTGAAAAATACAATAAATTATCGAATCAATACAATGAATCATTTTCCATGCAATCAAATGAGATACTTACTAAAATGTAGATTTCCCACGAATACGCCCTTTTTCACATCATGTTTTTCATCTGACTTTGAAGCTAAATCTACTCTTAAATGATTTCCATCAAATACTTTTCCATTCATGGACAGAGCTGCTTTAGCAGATTCTTCAGACTTATATCTAATATATGCAAAAACAGACTTCAATTTCGGATGAAGGTCTTTCTTTATTGCTGCTACTTTCTTAGATGTTTTCATGGATTTTCCTATTATACCCCTCAAACGTACGGTATCGATATTACCAAATTTTTTGAAGTGCTGTTGCAATTGTTTCTTTGTTACTTCCTTTGGAAGGTTTCCAACAAATATTGTTCTTTTGTCTTCCTTCATTTCTTCTAAAGAAAGATCTAAGCTTGCTTTTTGTTTCTTAGTTTTCTCTTTTATATTAGCTTTGCTGTTGCTTTCATCCTCTTCTTCATCTTCTTCACTGATGTCATCATCGTCATCTTCATCAATGTTCTCTGGCTCACTAAAATCTTCATCATCTTCATCATCCTCAACAATACTGTTACTAAGGATTGCCTCCCAGCTTAGCTTAGATTCATCGCCTTCTTCTTCATCATCAGACTCTTCACCTTCTTCGTCTGAATCACTTTCATCTTCGTCATCGTCATCACTATCAAGGGCATTTTCCTCCTCTTCATCTTCTTCACCATCATCATTGCTATTGCCTTCAGATTCAGACGTATCTGTGGTATCTTTGGATTTCACTCCTTTAAACATTTTTACTCCTTTATTCACTATTAAATTGTCCTCGTCTCCCTCATAATCATCGTCGTCTTCATCAGAATCATCCGCAAGACTTGTTCCAAGAATGTTAGGCAGATTCTGTTCATTTTCACTTTCATCCTCATCAGAATCATTGTCATCATCTTCACTAGCAGCTTCACTGCTTTCTTGTATGAAACTATGGTCATCTAAAACAACTCCCTCATTAATATCATCATCATTGTCACAACTATCTTCTTTGGGCTCTACTTTAATTTTCTTAGGGGTTTCCTGTAGTTTCTTTTCACTCTTGGAGGAATCTTGTGTTCTTTGTTCTTTATTGCCTTCCATTGATTTTTTCGAAGCTGAATTCTTTTGCTTGTTCAACTGTTGCTGTTTAGCATCATTGCTATCATTCGATGCCTTCGATCCGTTAATTAGAGCAATTTTGCCTGTAGGAGTTTGCTTAAATTTTTTACTTTTCTTTTTCTGTACAAATCCATCCTTTGGTGTATGGAGCAGTTCGTTTGCGTGATCTTTTTTACTTTCTGATGTAGCTTTAACCATCTTTCTGGAAAAACTTTATATTCCCTTGTAAAGAAGTATCTATTGAGAGAAAATGAAAGACAGAATTAACGATTTATAAATACGTTATTTTCGAAGATATTTCAAAAGCCACGAACACCATAATTTGCAAAGTTAACATTCCACGTGCAATATTTTGTATAACTGATTAATTAATAGTGAATCAGTATCAGAAATAAAATTCACTATTTCAGTCAACTTTAACTGCTAAATAAACTTGAATTCCATATGTTATAACGTTACTTACCACAAATTGAAGTGTACAGTTCCAACCGTCACGACTTTGATCGTCTTTTAAAATGCCGGCTCGTAACGAAAGACTTTAAGCGCCAACAGGAAGGACGAGATCAGCCATGAGCAATGTATGCATCCTTCCGGAAGATCGATATTTCCGAGATATTTCCAGGTCGAATTAAAAGTCCCTGAAAATATTCCCTAGATATAGTGTATGTTACAATTTCCCTATGACGAGAAATGTTAATTATACCGGGACAACAATGAGTTTAAATTGGTATTCAAGAATAAATAATTATAATCCAAATCAAATTCGTGCATTAACATGTAACGATGAGTATAACAATAAAATTACTGTGACACATTTTAGTGATAAGGGATAGGTTATGTCTTCGAAAGATTCTTGCTCTGGCATTTCCGACGTTTCAGGTGAGAAGTATTATACGACTTTAATATATTAAACATTTTAATAATATCACAAATCTTGTATTGACATCGTATTATATAATAATGATGGTTTTCTGAAACTTATTATTCAACACTATAAATCGGAAATGTCATATTCATGTGACTATATGTTTGACCATTGTTTTAATTTTGCAGATTGCATATACACTTTTACACGATGGACGGAATAGGATTGTTTAAAACTTTTCTTCAAGGTCATCAGCCTCAGTTAGAATCATCTAATGTGCCAAGATTGTTCTGGGAGAGTTTGTTTAAAAAACTACAGTATCAGACATTTGATTCAGATCTTGCATTTCAACTAATACGTATTGATTATGGTGATGACAACAAAGACCCATTGGATCCTGTTTGGAAGCTCTTCGTTTCTTCCGATAAAGGTATTCATGCTAATGATCCAAATAATATTTATTTGATAGATCATGCGTGGGTTTATGATACCAATAGTGCCAGACAGAATTTATCAAATGTACCAGGTCTCTTGGATCGTATGTGTATATTAATGGGTTTTGACGTAGAAGGAAAGCAAGATGAAAAGATAGATTTTGTAATCAATGAAATGTGGAGGTACAATCAGTCGTATTCTCTCAGTAGTGGTTCTGTGGAAGACAGAATGCCGATATGGTATATCATGGATGAAGTAGGTTCAGCTATAAACCATAGCGATACTCCCAACTTCAGAACTGTGCCTTTCTTATATTTACCAGAAGGGGTCACCTATACTTTATTATTTCCCATCGAAGATGTGGAAAAGGGAGAAGAAGTCACTAGAGACTTTGTTGAAGGTCAAACCAATGATCCAAGAAAAAGGGAAGCATTATTGCTACCATGGAAAAATGAATGTTTCCTAAATGAAAACTTTGTGCAAATAGAGCCGGACGAAAGTTACTTTCTCAGCGGTCACATTCTAGAAAGCTTACCGGAAGATTTAAATCCCGAAGCTCTTTTAAGGGACAGAAGCTCGAAGCTAAAGGTTTATTCACAGTATTCATTCGTAAACGAATACTTAAATGACCCAGCATTTGAGATAACAGACAACGAAGCAGAGGCCGACATTCTGTGGTATACTTTCCATTTTAAGGAATTTAAAGAGCTAGCAAATAATTCTCCACATGTTTTCGTAAACCAATTTCCATTCGAACATGTTGTGACCATAAAGGATCTATTGTCTATCGTCTGTAGAAGAAAAGCAAGCCAGGAACCGGACTCGGAGAATTTACAGTCCAACCCGATCTGGTTGCCAACTACTTACAATCTAAGCACAGAGCTGGTGCAATTTGTCGCCTATTTTGAGAACAGACGAATGTTAAACATGGACAACCACTGGATCTGTAAACCATGGAATCTAGCCAGAGGTTTAGATACTCACGTAACTCAGAATTTGTTCCACATTCTCCGGTTGCCCAGCACGGGACCAAAGATTGCCCAAAAGTACATTGCAGACCCGGTCTTGTACGAGAGACCGGAAATCGGCAAAGTCAAGTTCGACGTGCGCTACGTCGTGATGCTGAAATCTGTGAAGCCGCTCAAAGTATTCGCTTACAAGAATTTCTTCCTGAGATTTGCAAACAAGGAATTTGCCTTAAATAACTTCGATCAGTACGAACAACACTTTACTGTGATGAACTACTCAGAGGATTCTCCCCTCTGCCATCTGAAGTGCGCGGACTTCATTCTCGAATGGGAGAGGCAATACCCAGAATTCCCTTGGAGAGACCAGGTCGAGCCGAAGATCTTCCAAATGCTGAGGGAGGTTTTCGAGGCTGCAGTATCGGTAAATCCACCGAAGGGGATCGCAGAAAATCCTCAGAGCAGAGCCGTGTATGCGGCGGATCTGATGTTAGAGTGGGGAAAAGATAAGTTGGGCCGAAGAGCCGGTGTGCAACCGATTCTTCTGGAGATCAACTTTTCGCCAGACTGCAAAAGGGCCTGCGAGTACTACCCCAATTTCTACAACGATATCTTTAAATGCTTTTTCCTGGACGATGTTAATCCCGAAGAAATTCATGACCTCTGTCCCGACTCCCATTAAATTCCGTATATAGCTCGGAATGATTTAAACGTAGACCTAATCGATTTGGATCAAATCTGGTGGCACGATAGCTTCATCTGAAGAGCCACTGCGATTGTAGCCTTGGTTGGTCGAAACTCTTTAATAATTGGATACTGTGTTATGATTCAGAAGAAGATAGTAGATTATATTACATTATTCAGAATGCTTATTATTAGTATGCCCATTATTCAAATTGCTAGGGTTGAAGTATTGAAACGTTCCTAACAATTTTAACTTACAGACTCTTAAGACTTTGAGAACGAATGCTGCCATATTGGCGACATTGGGTTCACTCTGAAATTGAAAACAGCTAATTTAAATGCTTACATATCAAGGGACCAGTATATTTTTTATTTGTTCAGTATTTAAGATTTTGACCTAGTTCTTTGATGAAATGGGGAAGTGATAGCGAAGGCATTTTTCTGAAAACACGCTGGCCGGTCGAGGCTGCAATAATGGTTGCATTTGCTATGGACGTAGACGTATCGTGCCACGAAATTTCATTGAAATCGTACGGGGGCCACGACTGGAGCAACCCCATAAGGGGAAATGCGGATAGCTTAAGCACCAGTCGGTGCTATAAATATCGAGAAACTATTAACGATCGTTCCGTGGTCAGCGCCGCGGCTATAATGCACTTATTTATTCAAAAACCGACGGCGTCTGGCATTTCGTATGCGATAATGAGCAGAAGTAGCCCCAGTAAATCTGCATGCGCGAACGTTAAGGGCACGTTTGCCCCGTAAATAATGCGCGGTTCCCATAACTTGACGCTGCAACGGGAAGACTACCGGTGCTACCTAATGGAATAATAAACGAGGGAGCAATTGGAACAGTTTCATGATGTCGGCCCACTTCGGTCACCGTGTAATGCACCCTTCTAATGCACGATCGTATGCTTAATGCAAAAAGAAGCAAGCCGGCGACCGTGCATCACTGCACCTCCATTATTCCGGTTAATATGGCCATGAACCGGCGGGCCCGACCGAGAAAATGCTCGGCTAATGAGACACACGAATAATAAAGGTTCCCTCGTGTCATCTTCGTATAGGGTTATATCGCTTCTGACGAAAAAGCTGCATTTCTAATAAAGATTCGTATCACCCAGCTGTGTATTGTTGTTTCTCTCTTCGTTTATATATAACTCCTCATCGCTTCGTTGTAGCTCTTCATTTCATTACAATTAAAAATCTTTTGCATAAATAAAAGAAGCTAGCAGAAATTTATTCAGTTAGTGTAATTATTGAGACTGATCTCGTATTGTTTCTATATATATATAACTATTGAGACTTTAATTTTATATTGTCTCAGGTGTATTGCAACTATTCAGCCTCCATATTCATGAATAACAATGATGACTCATTTAAAAATCGTATAGTAGACTAGTCCCTCTATCATCTAAAAAAAAAAATTCAAGTCATTTAGTTTAGTTTTAAAATAGTTATTGCGTTTTTAAAGGTGTACGGAAACTTTTGTGGACACCGTATATATGGAGATACAGACACAATATTGTGACAGATGGCATTAAAAACAATCGCAGCGGTTCGAAATTGAAAAATCGAACGTCACATTTTTTAATGTGAACGTCTCTATGTGCTCTTTTTTTCTGATTAAAAGCTGTCAATAGAGCATTCGCGATAGAATGTATTAGTTGGTGATTCACGATTCGCAGCGGCACCATAATAATCCGCAACATTCGTTTTATTTCCGCGGCGGTGCGGCGTTGTATCGAATCACGCTCATCGCTAACAATTGTTTGCAACAACAATGAACGGTGCCATCGTACTTTGATGACCTCTGTTTCGTTCGTTATTCGATTATATCGTGATGAATGCGACGCGGAGCCGCTGCTGTGGCGCGGGAAAAGCTTTGTCGTCGAACTTTCATCGTAGTGCAAACGCGTGCAATTAAGCGATCGTACCTACGACGACTGAATGCGATCAGTTTAGTACCGGTCCAGCTGCTTGGACAACTGCCTAAGGCGTTAAAACGATTCGAGCTTGGTAATCTCGCGAACGAAATAATCTACAGTTCAATATTCCTTGTTGTACATGTTTCTACTTGTTGCATTGTTATTCCTGTTTCTACAGGTTTTCGCATTTAGTACGTTAAGACGGCACTGACTTCTAACTAATTTTTAAAATTCATTTCTATTAGAATATATTGGAAAAATCTGACTCTTATAAGCTGTTTAGAATGCAAAAGAATTGAAATATCTTCCGCTATGATAAATTTTAACTTCCTGGTTTCGGTTTCATTAATCACTTTGATCTGGCGAGACCTTTGGGCTTCTATTTTGGCACTTAACGTGTCAATTGCTGGCACACTGCAGATCTTGCATTCTAAGCAGCTCTCGTTCTTTGCACCTAGTTAAGATCTTTATTTCGCGCGACGATCCGTGATCTGCCGACGAGACGAGCAACCAAACGGTTCAAAAACACGCACAACCCGATAAAGTTCCATAAAACCTTTAGAGCGCATCACGATTTGCATTTTAATGCGACTGGCGGCACATTTTTTTCCGGGGAGGGGAATGCAAAAACCGCGATGGTGGACACGTCAATCGTAGCCGCGAATGATTCGTGCGACTATGCCGTGATCCCCGTTCGGATTTTTTTTGTCGCGACGGCGATGGAGACTGATTATTTTTGCGAGCCACCCTCTGATCGNTAAAAAAAAAAATTCAAGTCATTTAGTTTAGTTTTAAAATAGTTATTGCGTTTTTAAAGGTGTACGGAAACTTTTGTGGACACCGTATATATGGAGATACAGACACAATATTGTGACAGATGGCATTAAAAACAATCGCAGCGGTTCGAAATTGAAAAATCGAACGTCACATTTTTTAATGTGAACGTCTCTATGTGCTCTTTTTTTCTGATTAAAAGCTGTCAATAGAGCATTCGCGATAGAATGTATTAGTTGGTGATTCACGATTCGCAGCGGCACCATAATAATCCGCAACATTCGTTTTATTTCCGCGGCGGTGCGGCGTTGTATCGAATCACGCTCATCGCTAACAATTGTTTGCAACAACAATGAACGGTGCCATCGTACTTTGATGACCTCTGTTTCGTTCGTTATTCGATTATATCGTGATGAATGCGACGCGGAGCCGCTGCTGTGGCGCGGGAAAAGCTTTGTCGTCGAACTTTCATCGTAGTGCAAACGCGTGCAATTAAGCGATCGTACCTACGACGACTGAATGCGATCAGTTTAGTACCGGTCCAGCTGCTTGGACAACTGCCTAAGGCGTTAAAACGATTCGAGCTTGGTAATCTCGCGAACGAAATAATCTACAGTTCAATATTCCTTGTTGTACATGTTTCTACTTGTTGCATTGTTATTCCTGTTTCTACAGGTTTTCGCATTTAGTACGTTAAGACGGCACTGACTTCTAACTAATTTTTAAAATTCATTTCTATTAGAATATATTGGAAAAATCTGACTCTTATAAGCTGTTTAGAATGCAAAAGAATTGAAATATCTTCCGCTATGATAAATTTTAACTTCCTGGTTTCGGTTTCATTAATCACTTTGATCTGGCGAGACCTTTGGGCTTCTATTTTGGCACTTAACGTGTCAATTGCTGGCACACTGCAGATCTTGCATTCTAAGCAGCTCTCGTTCTTTGCACCTAGTTAAGATCTTTATTTCGCGCGACGATCCGTGATCTGCCGACGAGACGAGCAACCAAACGGTTCAAAAACACGCACAACCCGATAAAGTTCCATAAAACCTTTAGAGCGCATCACGATTTGCATTTTAATGCGACTGGCGGCACATTTTTTTCCGGGGAGGGGAATGCAAAAACCGCGATGGTGGACACGTCAATCGTAGCCGCGAATGATTCGTGCGACTATGCCGTGATCCCCGTTCGGATTTTTTTTGTCGCGACGGCGATGGAGACTGATTATTTTTGCGAGCCACCCTCTGATCGCGAGTCGAAGGGGTGCGTGCGGCTCCAGGTAGTCGGCCCCGTTCCATCGTGCCGTGCATTCCCGAATGCACTTCGTGCACAGGCTGCACCCGGGGGGCAGCCGCGCGTACTCGCTTCACCGACCATTCGTCCTCGCGAATTACGTATCGCGTAGACCCGTCGTCTGGGAAAGGCTGCTGAAATCGCCTTCAATTCCTGGCGGGCTTCCGCGAGCGGCCGCGTGCCGCGCGACCGGTAATCACGGCAATTAAGCAAATGAGTTCTGCGTACGGGGACGTCGATAACGAGGGCGTCCCGGCCGCTCCAGACAAACGGAGTGGTTTCACGTCCGCGTCTCGCCACCACCATACTCCGCTCGAAGTCTTTTTCTTTCGTTTTCAACGTCCACCGCAGCCTGACCGACGCCAAACAACCTACGCGAAACAACCCCTGTTCCACTCCAAGATTGCTATCGAGTAGTCGAAACCCACCTTCGAGATGTAAAATTGAGACTTCGTAGAGCATACTGCTGCCTAGAAAGATAGTAAATCTTTCAGTGGTCGCAGATTGTTCAAGCAGTCTTTACCCCCCTCCCCCCTCTCCCGTCTAACTCGTTGTCGTAATCACGAATTTTGTAGTCCGATTAGAATGATCAATGAACAACATTCAGTGATTCTTCCGATGTATTCACAGTTTTCGTGTTTTAGCTATCGATGTTGTTGTAATTGCGTAAAATCTGCAGTCTGTTTGTGAACATTCTAATTCATTCCGATTTTTCACAGCATGGAAGTGTGCTTATTATTTTAATTTTAAGATCTTTAAGATTTTAAGATCACTAAACCTAACGAGCATCGAAGATGTCTGACGTGTGTTGCTTTATAAGAATTACAACAAGACTGGATTTATTTATAGAACTTACTATTTTTACTGTAACGCGTGCTTGAATTAAGAAATTTATTCAATCGTTTCCTGCAAAAAATCCTTTATAATTTCAACACTTTTGTGAATCGGTTACCGTCGTATCTCGGTTTTATTTCTTCACAATGTGATGTTCCTCAATTTTATTCTGAAAAGTAACTTCTTTGAATTGAAAGAACTAGCCTGATTTTCAGCGTTAACCCTGACTCTTTAGAGCGAAATGGAACAGCCAAAGAAAGTGCTGACAACTTTTCGTTAATAATTTTATGAAAAATTGTCCGATTAGATAATCTTCAATGTAACTACTCCACAAGCCTGATTCATCGAAGATGGGTTTCTTGAACAGAGGAACGTAGGACTTCTTTTTCATTCTCGCCAGCCGGACTGACGCCACCGCGTTCGTGGTTGATACCGACACCGCGATACCACAGTATCCCCCCCACCGAACCTTCCCCGCCCCCGAAGATTGATATCGAGAAGTTGGAATTGCCATTGCCCTTTTATTTCGCGGAGCCCACGAACCGGGCCTGTTATTTCTCCGGTCGCGGGCGCCGATTCGACTCGGCAATTTCGTGCCTCCTTGTCGTGCTCCGTAATTTCGCAATTCTGTTTCAACCTTTTCCCGACGCGTCCCGGAAAGAACTCGCCCGGCCACCGTCCGCTAATTATTCGAACGTTCGAAAGTTCTCCGGCTATGACGAAACAAGAGAAAAAGAAACGAAAGGGAAGGGGGCGAGGGGGGAGGGGGCAGGCGAATTTAATCGCCGGTGGCGAAGAACGCGAGCAACTGTCCATTTACCTAATGCCTTTCCTGATGCCCGCATTCAGGGGACAAGCGAAACGGCGCGATCTCGGCAAAAATTAGTCCAGGACGGCCCGGAGCGAACCACGGCATCGGGGCCGTTTCTTGCTTCTGTTCGCCAAAATGGCACCACCGCGTTCCGCTCGAAACTATCTCTGTACCGCGCGAACTCACCCTCTAAAATGCAACGACTTTCTACGTTACCTTTGGGTGTTTATTAGGGTTATGAAGACTTTGGTGGACTGGAAATTATAGGGCTGTTCAAGGAACGACAATCTGAAAAAAAAATCTGGGACACGTATACGTCCCCGACCACGCCGCTGCATGCTCAACTTCTGCAATTACGCTTTGACGTCGCGCCATTCCGGTGTAATCAAATAGGCGATTCATTTTCTCGTTGATTTTATTGATTCATTTGTGGTTTTGTTGCATCATTTGTATCCTTACAGTCCGCAAACAGTATTAGTTCAACACGTTTAGTTGATGCAAGAAATGCAAAAATAAATCTTTCTTACGAGAAGAACTTTCTAACAAATCGAGATGTGCACATTTTTGTGTTCTGAAGGACTATATAAAAGAATCTGAAC